ATTCACTGCCATCCAATCAATTCCGAGTCATGACAATGCTACAGGACAGAGTAGAACCGCCCCTACCGGTTTCTGAGACAGTAAATCTTTACGAGAGTAGAAAGCCCTGTCTTTGGTGGAGCGACTGGTGGTTTCGAACTGATGGCCTTGTGATTAACAGCCCAACGCATAACCCTACTACATCACCAGGGGTAGTTTGAAAACCCTGTGGCATGAAATTCCATGCTGGCACACATGGGGGTGCCATACATCAGAATCCATGCTGTGGCAGCTGATAATGTGTTTACTTACAGGGAAGAATTTTTGTGACTAGGCCACCTATTAAGTGTTCTTCTTAGATGTTTCCAGAGCCGTGGTGATGTAGTAGTTGAAGCTATGGGCTGCTTACCCAAAAGGTGAGTGGTTCAAACCCACCAGACACTCCATAGGAGGTAGATGTGACTGTCTGTGTCCTTAAAGATTGACAGCCTTGGGAACCCTGTTCTGCTCGGTCCAGTGTGGTTACTGTGAGTCAGAATCCACTCAATGGCAAGATTTGTTTTTGGCTTTTTTTATGAATATGTTTCAACCCATGTTTTCTTTATTCCACCAGTAAGTACGCCTTTGGCTAGTGTCCACTGTCTCTCTATAGTGACAAGTTCCTCAGGAATGCACGCCATTCTCAATATTGATCAGGTTACAATTATATTAAAATGTCATTACTTATTACAAAAGCCATAGAGAAATAACTTTTTAATAATCGGTTGTTTAAAAAGTTCAGCACTCTGCTTTTCATGTCCAGTACTAGGACTTTGGTTTTTAAGAGTTGTACTTGCTGTGACAACATCGCAATTAAACCGGCCCAAAGGAAACAAACATTTTAGGTCTCTGGATAAAGCCTTGGGAGTATCCAAAACCCAGCCACCTTCGTCAAATTCATTCCGACCTGTGTCAACCTGTGTAGAGTTTCTGAGACACACCCCACCAAACCAACCAACCTACTGCCAGTCATTTGATTTGCCCTGAATGGGGTTTCCAAGACTGTCCATCTTTACAAAAGCAGACAGCCTCATCTTTCTCCCTAGGAGGGGCTGGGGGGTTTGAACCACCAGCATTGCTGTTCGCAACCCAACCCCTAACCTGTAGCGCAAACATGCATCCATTGGCTGTTCCACTATGATGAAGCTGCCTTCTCTTCTGTCACAAGGTATAGGACTCGGGGGGCATAGATGGAAAACGTGTCATGGCATTTATTTTGCTGGATGCAGGTGTCCTCTGTGGTCATGAGTTTAGAATACTGGGCACGTGTTCAAGTCAGGTGGCAGTATTTCTAGGTTTTGTTCTCCTCAGCTTACTATTGCCACTTTGGGCAACGTGTCAGCTGCTTCTGCAGGTGGAGTGCTAACGACGGTTCTCTTTTTTCCATGAAGGGGAATCAGATCCTCAGTGGGCTTTCCATTGAAGAATATAAGACCACATTGAAAATCATCAAGCAAGCTATTTTGGCCACAGATCTAGCGCTGTTCATTAAGTAAGTGTAAAGAATTTCCCTGAGATCAAGAAATAGGTCATGGAAGTGTTTCAGACATTTGAAATCCACATTGGGGACTTTTTAGATTTTAATGAGACCAACTATCTGGGCAGAGCTGTTTTTCACACTCCCAAACCGTTTCTTCAGAAGAGCCAGAACACCCTGCTGTTTCAGGTGTGTGCCAACCGCTGTGTCATTGGAGCCGCGCGCAAAGCAAAAGAGCCCATCCAGCCAGCCAGGGCTGCCTGGTCTAAAGACTGTGTAGGCCTCTAGCTTCTCCTCTTTATCTTTGCCCCTCCACCTCCACGTACAATTGTCGCACGCAATCCCTGGCGCTCTCATCCAAGCCTAGGCGAGCAGAAGAAGGAGCTGAAAGTCAAACCATCAACTCTTGTTTCTTTGTGTGTGTATCTGATTTTCTTAATTCTCAACGATGCCCATTCAAGTTACTGATTCAAAAAGTGGGCTGTGCATTCAAATGGTACTTAGGACATACGCCCCTTCTTACGGGATCTGCCGTTATAAGAGCTGGAGAATGGACCCCTGCCTCTGGGCAGGTATTATTTTTCCAGTACATCTGCCGAAATTGTTGGTGCAAGTGTCAAGTAAGAGGTCTCTCCCTGGGCACGAGGACTCACGCCCACGATTTTAGCCACTCTTCTGGGGAGTGAAAACAAATAGACCAAATGCACAGACCCACGTGTTCACTCAGTGGGCTCTTATCAAACGTTGCTTTAGACCGTACCGCCCACTCACAGTTGTAGTTTCCCAAAGTACCGGCAGGTCTCATTTTCGTTCGACTTTGGAGCACTTTTAGATGAATGAGAATAAAAGAGAAGATGGTAAACTTCAGCTTACTCAGAATGACAGGAGCACAAGAATTCCAGTCACGTGAAAATGATCGCATCTCCTCCACCACCTCTCCAGACCATATGGGCCTCTCCCTTGAACCTTTTTTCATGATCTCTTCATTCCATTTTCCCATAAACCTTGAAGCCCCGCCATAAGGCGTTTCATGTTTGATACCCATTCCGTACAGTCAGTTTTGTTCTGTAAGCTTCTCTGCTGTTGGTCCTTTGCCCCCGGCTGGAATTTAAATGTTGTGAAAAGTACAGCTCTGCCTTATGGACTTCCCAGGACCCGTACGAGTGTGGTCACTGAGGACCATTCACTCCACACTGCATGACTATGGTTGTTACATGTGACTTGGTTTTTATCTATTTATTTATTTTACCTTCCTAGCACTTAACAACTTTATACTGATCAAAAGTTGTTATTATCATCTTGTTATCATTTGAAACGTTGTTATCACTTTCACCCTATGTCGTAATAAAGGTAATACGGTCTATATTAAGCCCGAAAAAGACATACAAAGGTAAATTGAAACCCTGTAGATTTTACTGTGCCATACACTTAAAATAGCTTAAGCAATTCTCATCATTTTTTTCTTAAATAATGTTCAAGAAATAAAATGAAGATTATTGTTTGAGATCTACATTTAAGAAATTAGGTGAGGTTATGCGTTTTACCCAAAGAAAATGATTATTAAAATGGGGAAAGTGGGGTACCCAGAGATTTAAATGGCATTTTTTTATATTCGGTTCTAAAATGGAGTGAGGGTACGGTAGAACCACTCGAGCTTATTTTGCTCACATTTTACTCCATGAGTCTTTGCAGAGCCTGGGGAATCATCCTGACCAAATATTTTTATCTTCCAGGAGGCGAGGAGAATTCTTTGAACTTACAGGAAAAAATCAATTCAGTTTGGACGATCCTCATCAAAAGGAGTTATTTTTGTAAGTATGTTTGCTGTCCTTAAGCTGAAGTTTTTCTGCCCAGTGAAGAGTCCCTGCATCTGATTTCATTGCAATTATTGTTATAAGGTGGTCATCTCAGAACTTGTCAGAATTCTCGAGGGTTCTAGAGCTGGTCGTGAATTTTTCTTTGGAAAGAAATGTATTTGTGAGTTCAAATTAATAAGTTGCTCCATTTTTCCAGAAGGAACTTTAAAGTATGGCAGAATATCCCTACAGGGCTATTCGGCTCCCTTGCTAATTTCCCCAGCATAGAAGAGCTGAAAATACCACCCTCAAGATGACAGGCAGATGGAGAGGACTTGAACATGCGAACACAGTATAAAAGGTAGCAGAGCAGAGCTGTCAGAACTGAAGGCCTGTGAGTTTCTGTCTGCCGTGGCACTGCTGCGCCCCTCCTGCCTTCTAGCTGTAGTGGGGGTGCCTTGAGAGAGTTTGCAGAATAATGGAATTTTTCTACAAACTGTGCTCCTACTGCCTTTACCATCACAAGAAAGGAATTGATAAGAAGGATCAGAAGGTCAGTCATAACAAAAAATAAGGCAGAACTGTACTGAGGATAGTGCAATAATTCAATTTTGAAATCAATATTTCTTTAAAGAGACTACTGCTTAGCGTGTGAATGAAGAGGCGAAAAGTGTAGGAAAGTACACCAGTGCCCAAGCTATCTATTCCATATAGTCACGCGTCACTTAAGAGTGTGAGCATGTCTTTCCGCAGGGCGGGTGGCGTCCTGGTTACCCGTTGGGCTGCGATCCACAAGGTCAGCAGTTTGAAACCACCAGCCCCTCCATGGAAGAAAGATGGGGTTCTCTGATCCTCTGAAGAGTTAGTCTCGAAAACTCACAGGGGCAGTTCTACCCTGTCCTGTATGGTCATCGACTCATTAGTAGAGAGTTCTTTTAGCATATTTTTCAGAATAATTAATGCTTTAGAGACTTGCAGACATGCCACCCTGATTAGGGAACAATTTTTCTCAATAACAATGAAATAGAAGCTCAATGCTAAGCCTGTGCCATAGGCTGTGCTTCACTCTCCGAAGCCAACACCCCCGCCCAGAGAGAGGCTCAGAGGACCTGGCACCCTTCCTTTGTACAGCTGTAGTTTAGCGCATTGCACAGTGGTGATTTGAGCAGTAGGATTCTCGCCTCCCATTCTGGAGATCCAGGCCCAATTCCTGTCCAGTAGACCTCATGCCATACCCATCACTCACCTGTCAGCAGGAGCTTGCATGTGGCTGTGATTGCTGAGCATGTTTCAGCAGACTGAGATGGGCTAGGAAGAAAGGCCTGGCAAGCTACTTCTAAACATCAGCAGTGACAACCGTCGGGTATCCCAATGGTTCCATCTGCAACAGACCATGGCGGTGCGCTAGAACCGGGCAGCGTTTGCTTCCATCTTGCAGGGGTTGCCGTCAGCCGGAGGCTGGCTCTACTCTACGAGAACTAACACCAAGAAGTGAAGCTCGTGCAGGTTCATAATCTTCCATGGGGAGTTCTAGACGTGCCTATATATTTTAAAGAGCCAACAAACTCACTTGACACCGGGTCGATTCATAGCAACTTCATAGCAACTTTATCGAATAGGGTAGAACTGTCCCTGTGGGTTCCAGAGACTGTAACTCTTGATCGAAGTAGAAGGCCTCGTCGTTCACCTGAGGAACAGCCTGGGGGTTTCGACCTGGTGGTGCCGCCCCCACGGTAGACCATATGTAGGACAGTGTAGTCCTGGGTTGTTGGCAGCCTTCGTGAAGATGGGCTCGAATGGTGATTCTGAAATATGGCTGCGTGCGCATTTCTTGAGAGCGTTGGCCTGAAAGCCAGATAGGCAGTGGGGTCGTTCCCATTGCTTGATGGCCTTCATGGTTCGGGAGACCCTACCTGTAGGCTGGATTTCCTTAGAGAAGTAACTCATATAGCAGGCCTGGAGTGTTCTGTGTTGCTGTCATGAACGGTCTGCCTGCTTCTTCAACCAAACGGCTCTGACATGGGGAAACACTGAGCGAAAGAGAGAACCCTTTCCGTTCTAGACACCGCGTCGGCGACTCCAGAGCCCTGCACGGTTTGCACTGGACGCGCGCGCTCGTCTCCTCTTCCTGCGGCGGAGGGCCGCTTGATTTCTCTCAGACGGTTCACGTGGCAGGAGCCGTGGTGGCGTAGTAAGTCATGAGTGCGGTTGCTAACCACAGGGTCAGCCGATCAAACGCCACAGCCGCTCTTTGGGAGAAAGGCGAGGCTTTCTGCGCCCATGAAGATTGACAGCCTCTGAACCCCGCAGGCCCGGTTCGATTTTCACCTAGAGGCCAGCTGGGCACCAGCATCCACTCAATGGCAACGACATGTTTCAAGTGGTGCACATGGCGCCCAGGTGGCACTCGCTGCCCTGTACAGGTCAGCAGTTCGAACCACCAGCAGCTCCCGGCCCGGGAGAAAGACAGGCTCCTTGGTCTCCACAACGATGAGGACCGCCTTGGGAGCCCACGGCAGCGGCGGGTCTACTTTGTCCTATAGCGTCGCTGGAAGTGGAGATCAAGTCAGCGGCAGGGAGTTTGGATTTTTTCTTTCGTTTCAGTTTCCACTTAGAAGTCACTGCATGTGT